AACTCCCCCAGATCCCTCAGCGCTGGCTCAGCCCGACTCTTCAACCCCTCCAGGGATCCCGGGGACTCCCCCCTGCCCTGGGCAGCCCATTCCAACGCCCAACAGCCCCTTCTGCACAGAAATCCTTCCTCAGAGCCAGCCTGACCCTGCCCTGGGCAGCTTGAGGCCATTCCCTCGGGGCCTGGCGCTGGCTCCTTGGCTCCAGAGACTCATCCCCCCTCTCTGCCCCCTCCTGGCAGGGAGTTGCAGAGGGCCAGGAGGTCTCCCCTCAGCCTCCTCTTCTCCAGACTGAACCCCCCCAGTTCCCCCAGCCGCTCCCCAGCAGACCTGTGCTCCAGACCCTGCCCCAGCTCCGTTGCCCTTCTCTGGCCACGCTCGAGTCACTCAATGGCCTTTTTGGGGTGAGGGGCCCAACACTGAACACAGGAATCGAGGGGCGGCCTCCCCAGTGCCCAGCACAGGGCTCAGATCCCTTCCCTGTGGGAAGAACCAAGCACGCCCAAGCACAAAATGCAGAATAGTATTTGGGTGGTCTGTGAGCCCACAGGCCAAGCAGAAGTTAAGAAAATCCCCCAGCAGGCAGGCTCTGCGAGGAGAGCAGAGCCACGTGCTTGGCTATCATCACCCAGGGCACCCATGCAGTCCTGTGTCCCTCTCAGCTGAAAATCCTCTCTTTCCCATCAGGCTTCCTAGACATATTCTTCCGCATCCGTGTCCCACAGATTTGTCCCCAGACTCTTGCCACTGCAGGCCGAGCTCTCCTGCCTGCCTCCTGACAGCAAATCTCCCGAGCTGCTGCTCTCTTCTTGCTCCCCAGTTCCCCGCCAGCTGTTACCATACATGTGCAGCGCTGCAGTGACAAAACCCAGCCCAAGGCATCTCCCGAAGCGTCTCTCCCAAGAGCCGGGTCAATCCCCTCAGCATTAGCACACCTTGCTAGCGAGGTGTACTGTAAATCAAATGGTGATCTAGGGGACTAAGCCAGCCTGTGCTGCAGGGATTGGACCCCAAGCCCGGCTGCTGCTTCTCGTTGTCCCCACCAGATACCAACAACAGCCAAACCTTCCTCAGCTCATAAATTAAGGATTTGCTAAGCCACAGACGGAGAGCAATACAACAGCCCGACCAGTTCTTTCGCAAACAACTTGCTCAACTTTTTTTTTGTTTGTAACATTACTTTATGTTCTCCTCAGTTCCTAAAAATACTGTGAGGATTACGTAACCTTTTCTTCTCTCTGAAGTCCTATTTCAAACTCAGGAGGCCTTGAAGGTGATGGTGGGAAAGAGCAAAAGGGACAGAGGACTTTAGACTTGAGTTGACATCATGTGAGAGCTGGGCTTTTTGCTAGGGCTTCATAAGAAAGAAAAGGTTTCAAATGCTGCATGATCATTCTCCAGAATAACAGACATTTATGCTGTATTTCCGATTTCAGTTTCACGTCCACTTCTGACACCAATAAACTAACAATCAGACACCTGCTGAACCCATGTACTGATTTCCCATTACAGGGGTGCAGACAAGAGTATTTGCTATGGAAGGCCCCTATGCTGAATTCAACATGAGAGAAATTTCAGCATTTTGCTAGGAAAATATCTAGTTTTTTACAAAGCAGTGGAAAGCATGGACATACAGTCACGGTACTTAAGCACCTCTTCCACTGTTAAATCTGATAGTTGTCTTTCTCAGAGAGAAGGAAGGTTTGCAGTCACAGGCTGGCCCTGTCAATGCGTGCTTCAGTTATTTATCTCACGGGTATACAAAGGGGAAGAACAGCTGACGACTGTCCTGTACTGTTAGCCTCCAAGTTGCTCCTGACACTGCCAAGACATGACACCTGAGACAGGAGGACGGAATCCCTGCTGCCAGAGGAGCTCACGGTCTCATTTACCTCGTGTCATGCTGTACTAGCTAAGGATTGGGCACTTTACCCTGGTAGATCACTGCTTGATTCCATGATCGTGTTAGGGGTACACAGAAATACTTGACACTTTTGTCACCAGCCGGTAAACAACCCTGCAGCAGTTTCTCCAGAGCCTCCAGCAGTTCAGCTCCTCTGCTGAGTCCTGAACACTCACCCTAAAGTTCCAGAAAGCCTGCTTAAAAAAAAATGCAATTAAGCAAACCTCCTGCCACCCCATCCAGGCCTTGTGTATAACGAAATGGTACTCCTGGCCTTACTCAGTTCTTAGTCCTAACTTCAACTTTCTCCAGCTTCTATCAAAATAGGCCCAAATAGACAAAAGTCCTCAGCTTTTCTTCTCCCAGGCCTCCCTAGCAGATCACAGCTCTTGATCAGAAGAGAGAGGGATAACGTCTGTTTTCTTAAAGGGGCTACTGATTGAGCACCCTTAGTATTGGTTAGAAATCTGAAATGCCAATTAATTTGGGTTTTTAAAGATCCCATGGTACTTTTTAAAACAACCAACCCCTCTGTCTAGTCAAATTCTTGATGGAGAGGAGGGATTGCATTCTGTCTTTACACACTGCTCCTAAAGCTTTTCTTTACCAACACTGAGCACCGTGTTATCACTATAATGGGTATCAGGAGCCCTATCCTACCATGCATGCTTTCACTGAACTTAATTACACACAAAATCATAAATTCCCTGTCTTGCAAAGGGATAATAAGTATCAGGGCCCTGGGGGCACTAATAGGCCTTTATGGCCCTGACCAGTCTCACCTGGGGCCTTCACACACTCATAGGCTGAGGACTCTATTTAATCTCAGGCCTGAGGCCCTAGCTGGCTTTTGGGGAAGGTGTAATGGTTTCTGGTTTTGTTCTACCTGTGTTGGCTATGGAGGCTGTTGGCTGGACCCTGACTACAGGCTGGAGTCTCAGTTTGGTCCTAGACCTGCCTTGTGACCACAGAGGTACCTTTTGATCTCAGCTCTTATTTACCCTGTTCCTTTATTTAGGTTTTATAGTGCTGAGCTGTGGCCCCCAAGGGTCTTGCTAACTTGGGAGTCTCCCCCTAAGTTCCCTGGCCCTCAGCTCCCTGACAATAGGTCCCTGTGCCTTCTTATCTAATAATGTGTTCTGTGTCCTGATGGATATGCTATAGACATACTTTACAAGCTGGATAGCTTAGATAATTTTTTTTTTTAACTTAGGATGTGTGTTCTGTACAGCAGAAACCTGAATACAAAAACTCAAGTTTACTGTAAATAACCAGCTGACTTAATGTTGTGAAGTATGTATTTTGAGTTAGTCAACAGTAGTCAAGCCTTACTATGCTTACACAGAAGTCAAGCAAGTTATTTATATAAGGTTATATTTTCTTCACTAGGTTTATTTTAGTAGCAGCTAATAGTGATAGTCTGCAGTGTGTGTTAAGAAGACCAAGTGGTATGGGAATATCTAACAATTAAAATGAGTTTGCAAGTTAGGAGATATGGGCTTATTTAAAGCATTTTAATCTATTTCTAATAGATGAGTCCTACACGGTATCTGCCTTCCAGTACTGACCCTGTCAAAGAGATCAGCATTTTTTGTGTGCTTCAAGCTCTGCATGTGCGTGAACTTTTGCAGGACTAGACTTTGTAATTCTGAAGCTCTGAACATCCTACTCAATCCATTCCAAGCATGCAAAGTACCCTTATCTTTTTAATGTCTGTCTTTAGTGATAATAATGAATTTGGATTTGTAACAGCTATATGTGGCAAATGAATGCTATACCCACTTTAAAGACACAGGGCATGAAATGAAGTTTTGTGCTGAAGAGATGAAGCAACCTTCTTAAAAATCCTATTCATGTATTAGTCATAAATTGGGGTGTCTTCATTTTTACCAGTCTTCTGCTGAAGGCATGCTTGTGGCTCAGTGAGCCATCCAGTGAATTTATATGCAAAAATTGATTCTGCACCCTTTACTTAATTGCCTCCTAACTGCATCAAGGCATTTTGACTTAGGACACAGAGTTTTGGGCCTCCCATTATAAATTGTGTTTTATATTGGTCAGCTTGGAAGATAATTCAAAGTTACTTCTGGAACTTTCTGGTGTTCAACACAGGACTAATTCTGCTCCCAAAAGTAAACCTATAATTAAAGCTTCTGAAAGTTCTATCTATAGAATGTCACAAGATGTTTTTTTTTCCTGTGAAAATTATTCTTTGTAGCTATTCCTCTGAATGCACAGCACAGTACTGAAGGTCACGTATTTCTGAAGTTAGAGGCATTCTACCTGTTTAACTTTCTCTTGTCCTTCCCCTTTTCTTTGTACTATTAAAGTATCATCCATGTCACTCCTTTCTTCAGTTATTTGCCAAGGGACAGGCTGAATGGAAGCCAGAGATGCTCAGTCTTGCCCTGTAGGAGTAGAAACCTAGGTCTGAACTTACATGAATAGCTTTGAGTCCAGCCTGATACCTCTCTTCTGCAGCCACAACCACCAAGCCTTTGGCACCTGAGCCTTTTATCTGAGGTTTCTCCTGTGCTGTTCTTGAGAGTGTAATTATCTTAATAGGTTTGAGATGTGACCTGTAGCCTTTGTGATAACAGGCTTCTGGGTTTCATAAGCCACTTGCATAGAATCCATGTTTCATTTTTCTTCCTTGAGCTGTACTTGTAGTGTATCCAGAAACACCTCACCACTTATGAGCCCACCCCAAGCCCTCCATCAGCTCAGCAAATTTAAAGTCCAAGTAGGAACTAATTATTTTTTATTACATAGTGAAGCTCTTGACTAAGAGGAAATGGGGTAGTCCCTTGGTAAAGGCAAGCTCCTTGCAGGAAGGCAGCTCCTGCCAGTAGAGGATTTTGCTGGGGAAAAAAAAAAAAAAAAACTGGCTGGGAAGTTGTCTGGGACAGCAGAGGTTAACATGGAGCTTCTGCAGGCCAAGTATCTGCTGAGAAGTCTGTCCAAAGCAGTGACAAACTTAGCACTGCTTTTCCCTGGGGTGTTACTTGATGCTGACATGTTGCTAAATTCCTGTGTTTTGTCTT